GACTTAGTGATTGTGTTTAACGCCATTCAGCAATACTTCAGTGGCCTGTAAATAGTCGAGTCTGGACTTGATAAACCAGTGACTAGAAGTATAAACAACGATCCACGCTGTCGGGCACGACGGCACTGTCTGACCATCCAATCCTCTTGAGTCGACTCTTACAAGTCATTGAGCCTTACCACCCAATCCCCTTTAGTCGACTCTTACAAGTCACTGAGCCTTACCACCCAATCCTCTTTAGTCGACTCTTACAAGTCATTGAGCCTAACCACCCAATCCTCTTTAGTCGACACTTACAAATAACTGATCCTTACCATCCAATCCTCTTTAGTCGACCCTAAAAAGTCACTGATCCTTACCACCCAATCCTCTTTAGTCGACTCTTAAAAGTCACAGAGCCTTACCACCCAGTCCTCTTTAGTCAACTCTTAAAAAATCACAGAGCCTTACCACCCAATCCTCTTTAGTCGACTCTTACAAGTAACTGATCCTTACCACCCAATCCTCTTTATTCAACTCTTACAAGTCACTGAACCTTACCACCCAATCCTCTTTAGTCGACTGTTACAAGTCACCCAATCCTTTTTAACCTGTTCGTTGGACAAGCATGCGATAATGAAGACCTATTCTAATCCGGATTCCCTAAGGCGTTTCAAATTTTTAATATCCTTTAAGGATAACAAAATAACTATCGAGGGAAGATTGTGAGTGAGTAAATTTTGTTTAACGCCTCTTTGCACGGTTACTTTAGTTATTTCATGGCTTGTCATCCGATTTGTGAGGAAACCCAAACAAGATGCAGATCTTAGCTGCTTACGACTTTGATGAAACCCATGAACACAGGTATGGTGCTGACAAACCTAGAACCATATTTAGAACGAATCGGGGATTCGAACCCACACTCATTGGTTTCTGGCATCCCTAAGGGACAAAACTCTGCACAAGGAATTGTGACGCTTTAGACACCTTCGCCCACGGGCTCCCAATGTGTTGACATTGTCACGTGACTGTCTGTCCCCCAAGTGCATCGTGCGTCATCTGGTGGAGAAGAATCTGATATGTGGAGAATTCACCTCGAGAACCTACAATGAACTGTCGCACGTGGACGTAAATCACAGCGTGCGTCATGAAATCCTAGAAGGGACATTGTCGTCTTGTCGACCTTGAATGAAACACAATGTCACAAAGCGCGTCATAGCTACAGTATGGCTACGCGCCACCTTATGTCACAGTTGCATTGTCGCGTTTTTAATCATTTAGTTCACACTAAAGGGCGACAAAGCTTAAACGCGACATTATTTTCTGGTCAAATATGCCATATTGGCGCCCCATCTAAAATGTCTGAAAAACGTCGGCAACACTAGAAAAAATGCAGCATAATCGTTATGTGACATTGTTGCGTTGTTGCTCATTGGTGAAAACCTAAAATGTTTTTCAAAACACGCCACTGCGACAATTGGTCAAACTTGATGTTAAATTATCGCAATGTTGGACATTGGTTTTGGTTTCTGCTTAGTTTTGTAGTTTGCGACAATTGGACAACCCGGCAATGTTCCTTCTTGTATTTCATAGTCTCATGACGTTGATGAACGGATGGCTTTGTATTATATGACCTATGGTTTGCACATCGTGTCAAATCAGCTGACAGTAATAACGAATTCTTTTCAATATTGACCCCCTTGTCCATAAGAACGCGTGTGACCTATTCACGAACGTCTGCCCTGTGTCTAGAATCAGTCCTAAATACATTGGTACTTATTTTCAGCTATTTCATTTGCATCTGTGATCCCTCTCTCCCAACCCTCATACACTCGGACTACTTTCGTGTTCTTCTAATTAGTTAGAAAATGTCGTTTATTTTTGTGACTTTGCCATATTTATTAGTCTAGCGGGGAGCAGTAACAGGGGAAGATGGAAATAGTTAATTCTGCATTAGACCAGGTTTTCGTGCCCTACTTAAAAGCATCCTTGTACATCTATATTCACAGCAGCCATGAACTGGCGTGATGGGTTAACATATCTTGTAGCACAGCGGAATGAATTAACGATTTCCCGAGCATAAAACATCTATGCGTCTGATGTCTTAATGTGATTATTCTAAACCTAAATGATTTCTATCTATATTTTAACATTTGGTAAGGACGGCCTCCGTGGTCTAGTGGTAGAGCGTCCGGCCGGAGAGCGGAAGGTCCGGGGTTCGATCCCTGGCGTTTAATACCAAATGCGCTCGGCATTAAGGGGATGCATCAAGGAATGAATGGTTCGGAGACAGGATACTGTGTCGAAGAGGATTATTTATTACACGAGTGTTTATGGGGGCGCAGTGTACGAAGTCGTCACAGATGTTGTTGGAGTATTTTTGAAATTGTACTGGACTTGTATCAGTGTTCGTAGTGGATAGGTGAAAGTAGAAGTAAAGACTGAGTTGTTGTCGATGTTGTTGTAGTGGTTGTAGAACTACATTATTGGTGCCAGTGGTGACAGCGGTAACTATTGTAGTAATATTAGTTGTGGTAGTTCTAGTTATGGTAGAAGTTCAGTATAAACTGTCGTAGTAAAGGTTAGCGAAACTGTTGTTGCAATAGAAGTCCTCGCCAGGTCCTCGTAACGTCTCCGTTAGGTCCTCATCAGATCATCGTCACGTACTCGTCACGCTCTCGACATGTCATTGTCAAGTCCTCGTCATGGTCTCCTCGCGCCCTCGACAGCTTCTCATCACGCCCCATACAAGCTGCCGTCACGTCCTCGCCACGTCATCGCCAGGGTCTCGTCACGTCCTGAACAAGCTGCCGTCACGTCCTCGCTACGTCATCGCCAGGGTCTCGTCACGTCCTGAACAAGCTGTCGTCACGTCCTCGCCAGGTTCTCGTCACTTTCCTCCATGAATAGTGCCAGTGTTAGTTGTAGTACAACTTCATGTCGATGTTCCAGGCTACACACCTTCGGATAGAATAAAGCGACAAGGAGAAAAGTAGGTTGTATATTTGAAACAAGTAAAAGGTAGGTACATTATATTTCTTTACTTTTCCCATAGCAAGAACTGTCAAACCGGTAATTAGTTTTCACTTCAGGACAAACAACATGACTGATATCTGACATTAATGTTCTTTATCCAAACTGCATAAAAAAATGATTGGTTTCTTATTTCCTCTTTGTGTTCATGTGAACTTCATGTTCAATTATTTTCAAATTTCAAAGAAATATAAGTTGCCTTTTTCGATTATTCTAATTAGATTTTGAGACACATTATGTACTGGTGGTTAAACTGAACATTTTTGTAAATTTTTATCTTGCCAACATTTGGAAGGGAACGAATAGCTCTTACACGAGATGGATCAAGTCGGATGAAATTCCAAAGGATTTGTTTGATCGTTGTCACGTCAACAACTGTGGGTGAGTCACGTGCGTCATGTTTCAAAGAGAAAGATGATGAAACGGCCACACACTTCCCTACCCGTAGAAGCTTCTGTCTGTGTCACAGCATGGTGCATTGTAAAATGTGTTCTTTCCAGATGACCTCCAATGAAATGTGTTCTCACCATATGACCCCCTAATGAATTGTGTTCTGTCCATATGACCCCCTAATGAAATGTGTTCTGAGCAGATGGCCTCCTAATGAATTGTGTTCTGCCGATATGACCTCCAATGAAATGTGTTCTGACCATATGACCCCCTAATGAATTGTGTTCTGCCGATATGACCCCCCCCTAATGAAATGTGTCCTGTCCAATTGACCTCCAAATGAAATGTGTTCTGACTAGATGACCCCCTAATGAAATGTCTTCTGTCCAGATGACCCCCTAATGAAATGTGTTCTGACTAGAGGACCCCCAAATGAAATGTCTTCTATCCAGATGACCTCCAAATGAAATGTGGTCTGACTAGATGACCCCCTAATGAAATGTCTTCTATCCAGATGTCCTCCAAATGAAATGTGTTCTGCCCAGATGACCTCCAAATGAAATGTGGTCTGACTAGATGACCTCCAAATGAAATGTGTTCTGACTAGATGACCCCCTAATGAAATGTCTTCTGTCCAGATGACCCCCTAATGAAACGGTGTTCTGACCAGATGACCTCCTAATGAAATGTGTTCTCCCCATATGACCCCTAATGAAATGTGTTCTCCCCAAATGACCTCCTAATGAAATGTGTTCTGCACGGATGACCCCAATGAGGTTTGCTCTATCCAGATGATCAATCAGAGAGATTAATGTGTTCTGCTCAGATAATACCCGAGTGAAATTTGTTACGCCTAGATAATCCACCGATGAGACTTGCCCTATCCAGATCAACCAGTGAGATGAGATAAGAACCTCCAATTAAATTTGTTCCACCCAGATGACCCTCTGATGAGGCTGTTCTACCCAGATGACCCTCTAATGAGACTGTTCTACCCAGATGGCCCTCTAATGAACTATTCTACCCGGCTGACCCTCTGTTCTACCCGACTGTTCTACCAAGATGACCTCTATAATAAGGCTGTTCTACCCAGATGACCTCTATAATAAGGCTGTTCTACCCAGATGACCTCAAATGAGACTGTTCTACCCGGATGACTCCTAAATGAAATGTCTCCTGTCCAGAGATCTGTCTACCCAAATGACCTCCAATGAACTTTTCTACCCAGATGACCCTCTGTTGAGGCTGTTCTACCCAGATGACCCTCTTATGAGGCTGTTCTACCCGGGTGACCGTCTATAATTAGGCTGTTCTACCCAGATGACCTCTATAATTAGGCTGTTCTACCCAGATGACCTCAAATGAGACTGGCCTACCCGGAGGACTCCTAAATGAAATGTCTTCTGTCCAGAGACCTCCAATGCACTTTTCTACCCAGATGACCCTCTGATGAGGCTGTTCTACCAAGACGACCCTCTAATGAGGCTGTTCTACCATGCTGACCCTCTGATGATTCTGGTCTACCCAGATGACCCTCTAATGAGACTATTTTACACAAAAGATCCTCCAATGAACTATTCCACCCAGATGACCCCCTGATGTGGCTGTTCTACCAAGATGACCCTCTAATGAGGCTGTTCTACCCAGATGACCCCCTGATGTGGCTGTTCTACCAAGATGACCCTCTAATGAGGCTGTTCTACCCAGATGACCCCCTGATGTGGCTGTTCTACCAAGATGACCCTCTAATGAGGCTGTTCTACCCAGATGACCCCCTGATGTGGCTGTTCTACCAAGATGACCCTCTAATGAGGCTATTCCACCCAGATGACCCCCTGATGTGGCTGTTCTACCAAGATGACCCTCTAATGAGGCTATTCCACCCAGATGACCCCCTGATGTGGCTGTTCTACCAAGATGACCCTCTAATGAGGCTGTTCCACCCAGATGACCCCCTGATGTGGCTGTTCTACCAAGATGACCCTCTAATGAGGCTGTTCTACCAAGTTGACCCACTAATGAGGCTGTTCTACCCAGATGACCCTCTCATTTGGCTGTTCTACCCGGATGACCCCCTTATGAGGCGGTTCTGCCCAGATGACCCTCTAATGAGACTGTTCTACACAAATAATCCCCCAGTGAACTATTCTACCCAGATGACCCTTTGATGAGGCTGTTCTACCAAGACGACCCTCCAATGAGGCTGTTCTACCCAGATGACCCCCTAATGATCTATTCCACCCAAGTGACCCTCTGATGAGGCTGTTCTACCCGGATGACACTCTTATGGGGCTGTTTTACCAAGATGACCCTCTAATGAGGCTGATCTACTCGGATGACCCTTTGATGAGGCTGTTCTCGGATGACCCCCTAATTAGGCTGTTTTACCCAGATGACCCCTGATGAAGCTGCTCTACCAAGATGACCCTCCAATGATGCTGTTCTACCCGGTTGACCCTCTGATGAGGCTGTTCTACCCAGATGACCCTCTGATGAGGCTGTTCTACCCGGTTGACCCTCTGATGAGGCTGTTCAACCCAGATGACCCTCTGAAGAGGCTGTTCTACCCAGATGACCCTCTGATGAGGCTGTTCTACCTAGATGACCCTCTGATGAGGCTGTTCTACCCAGATGACCCTCTGAAGAGGCTGTTCTACCCAGATGACCCTCTGATGAGGCTGTTCTACCTAGATGACCCTCTGATGAGGCTGTTCTACCTAGATGACCCTCTGATGAGGCTGTTCTACCTAGATGACCCTCTGATGAGGCTGTTCTACCCAGATGACCCTCTGATGAGGCTGTTCTACCCAGATGACCCTCTGATGAGGCTGTTCTACCCAGATGACCCTCTGATGAGGCTGTTCTACCTAGATGACCCTCTGATGAGGCTGTTCTACCCAGATGACCCTCTAATGAGGCTGTTCTACCCGGATGACCCTCTGATGCGGCTGTTCTACACAAATGATCCTCCGGGGAGCTCTATACTATCCATATGCCCCTCAGTGAAAATGTTTTGCCCAGATGATCCTCAGTGAGGATGTCCTGCCCAAATGATCTCCAATGAGACTAGACCGCCTCCGTGGTCTTGTGGTAGAGCGTCCGCCCGGAGAGCGGAAGGTCCAGGGTTCGATCCCGGGCCGCGTCATACAAAAAGACGTTAAAAGATTGTACTTGTTGTTGCCCTGTCTGGCGCTCGGCATTAAGGGGCTAAAACAAGGACTGGTCGGCTCGGAGTCAGTATACTGTGTCTGAGTGGGGTATTCATGTTAAACTGCGGCATGGTATCTCAGTGAGCTAGCACTATAAATCGGCATCAGTCCGGACTAGTACAAGCAGCCACACACACACATACACGTGCATGCACGTCGCTATATAAGTGCAATAATCTTGGACGCGACGTTAAACCCAATTTCACCTCACCTCCAATGAGACTGCTCTGTCCCTACAAAGACCAAATGGTGCAAATTGTCCTCCAAAGAGCGGTCTAACTATAACAAAAGTCTTTTTTTTCCTTAGCCACGTTCGAGTAAGTCATTGTCAGAGTTTCCTAACCCTTTAGATGGAATCGCAACAATGCACATTGATTGGGTGACAACCATATGTGTCCCGTCACACTGGCAATGTAGAGAAATGAGCACACTACATCAGCCACAGACATAGGCTCTATATTCCTTGTATTCCTGGTCAGTATACTGAACCTTTATACAGCCTCCATTAAATTCCGCAAAGGCCCGACCGACTCCGTGGTCTAGAGGTAGAGCGTCCGACCGAAGAACGGAAGGTATAGGGGGTTCGATTCCCAGCCGCGTCATACCAAAAGACGTTAAAAGATGGTACTTGTTGTTACTCTGTCTGGCGCTCGGCATAAATGGGCTAAAACAAGGACTGGTCGGCTCGGAGTCAGTATACTGAATATAAAGTGGGGCATCAATGTTAAACTGCGGCATGTTATATTAGTGAGCTAGCACTATAAATTTGGCATTAGTCCGGACTAGTACACACACACACACACACACACACACACACACACACACACACCCGTGCATGCACGTTGCAATATAAGTGCACTATTATGAAACTCCATTTCACCTCACCAGAAGGGTCCGATTCCATAATGCGACATTAGCGTAACATCTATCGTACGTTTTCCTCAAGGTATAGGGGTATCGACAGTCGTAGCGTTAAGGTGATTTTGTACATACGAATTCTTGACACTCGCTCACTAAAAGACCTGAAGATAATTGACTTTGAGCAATAACTGGTGGCTGATTATAAGTAATGATACGTAACCAACCGAGCCGGGCCACCCGATGCATCTCATTAATGACGCTACTGTTTACATGACCTTGACCTCTACGTCAATGTGTGTGACCCGTATGTAGCCTTGTCGGTAAGATGGCAACTATTCACAGTTGAGGACGTATCACCAAGGGATATGACGTGTGTCGTTTATCAAATTGGTGAGGTGAAATGGGGTTTAAAGTTGCGTCCAACATTAATACACTTATATTGCGACGTGCATGCACATGTGTGTGTGGCTGCTTGTACTTGTCCGGACTGACGCCGATTTATACTGCTAGCCCACTGAGATACCACGCTGCACTTTAACATGAATACCCCACTCAGACACAAGTACCATCTTCAACAACAAGTACCATCTCTTAACGTCTCTTGGTATGACGCGGCCGGGGATAGAAACCCGGACCTTCCGCACTCCGGGCGGACGCTCTACCACTAGACCACGGAGGCGGGCGTTTATCAAATAAGAAACATAATGTCTTGTATAATGCAGGGACTCTGTCCCAACACTAATTACATATCTTGTCATCCAATGCACATTATTTCTCTGGCATTCTATCAACCTTGTCGCCTTATATGCAACCTCGCATCAGACAGAATCCTTCTTACCGCTGTTATAAGTCGGTTTTCCTCTTCACTAATCTGGTATGTAAATATTCTCTTCAAACAGGTGGTCGGCGGACGCGTGATGGATGAACGCCTCTGTCCCTGATGCTAATGTGGTCCCTCTGATAAAGCTTAATCTCGTGTCAATTTGTCAACGTGTTATTTACATGTTTCAAAACCCCGGTCTCGGATTTGACAGGACGCATCTCTCTATTCGTGGATTTTATCCGATATTAATCCTGACTATAATGAAGTGTTGGGAGACTGATGTCCTGTGCCGCGTCTAGACAGAGTTAGGAACACGGCTTCTAATTTACAGCCAGAACGCGGAGATGAGGCTGAGTTACGGCAAACATATGACCACTGGCGTTTGGTAATTCATAAGGCCAAACGATAAAATCTCAACTGATTAATATTTGAAAGTGACAAATTATGGCATCGGTTGTTGCATCTCTGCAACAGCGTCAGGATGGTGCTGTGGCTGGATGTAGTTGATGTCTTCCCCGGCTGGCGGCGTCACGGCTCTTCATCAGGGATGCTGGGCACTCGGGGTCATCAACGTGCTAAAATATTTGCATTTTGCCTCATCAATTGACCGTGGATATGCCAAAGGCACTGTTCGCATATGATTCACTTGTTACTAAAAACGACATAAATCTCTGAATCTGACAACCATGTCATACTCACAATCCCCAATATTCAATAAATTGGGAAGTGGGGATATTATTTTTCACATTTATTCCAGGGATAGTTTATAACGCATCTGTGATGCGCCAGTTCTAAGCCATGTGTTGCAGTACTGACAGATGACGCCATACTTCCCCGCCAGCTGGGAAAACAGGAATGCTTTATTGCCACGTGCTGCATGTAAAATGCGTGTAATCGCCATGATGGTGTTCCTTGTCGATGAGTTATCTTTGCGTCATATAGTCGGAATGGAGCGACGTCGCTGCAACGCCGCTTGTTTCAACAGCTGCCTTGTTACGACGTTTGCTCTGGCGACGTGATCAGGGATGACGTCTGTTACACCGTCCATTTTGCTGTACTTTTATGGTCGATAAAAATCATTCCGAAATTAATTAATATTCTCTTAATGTTTGTTGGTGTTATTGAAAGCCTGTTGTGAATGCCATTTCATAATTTCATAGCCATTGTGTGTGAGATTGATGTCCTTGGATTAACTGGCGAGACACGGCGAGGCAGACCGCCCGCAGCAGGAAGAAACATGCCCGATCTGGATGTGCAGAGAAGAATCATTTTCTTTAAAAGAACAATCAGCTTCCTGTGGCTTCCCCTGAATATCCCTTATTTGTCCATTTGTGTGTTGACCAATTTGTGACCATCACGCGAGAGGGTCGGGAGAAGTGCGCTGCTCTGTTATCTGCCAGGACTGTGTCTGTTCCAGACTGTTGGGGCATAACAGTAGAGGAAAGTCGTGTTTGAGACAGATTTGTCGTTGCTTATGCTGCTAATATTGTACATAGTATAATAACTCTTGCTATGTACATCAATCAACGCACTTCCCGAGATACCAATGAAGACAGGAGCCCAGTCTGCGGTGATCATGTGAAGCGACAGTTAACACTGACTCATGTACATAATACAACCAATGTGTAAAATCAGTCAGTTTCCATTTAGGCAATTTACAAAACGCCAAACTGTTTCAGTCATTTTACAACTTGTTTTTTCATTTATTATATTATGATAACGAATTCCAAATATTTTTATGCTGTTTCATTACCCAGGGACTCAAAATGATAGGATTAAAACAAAACAAAAGTCAATGGATATTTTTGAAATATTTCGGCTTCCATTCCTGGCATAAGCAGTCTATTGTGATGTTTTTCAGACCTTTTGAACTTCTTAATTACTTTACCCAGTTTACTTCGTTTGCTTCTATTAAGTCTTTAACATAGACAAACATTTAATTTTTTAAATCAAACTTTTTTTTCAAAATTGTCTTTTAATAAATCCCCGGGCAAAAGAAAGCGTACACTTGAAGTTTAGATTTGACTGAAAAATTATAAACGTTATCATACCGCTGATAACTTAAGGTCCAAAACACAACCCGTTGGTTTGGAAGATTTCCGTGCAACAGTAAAAAATCGCTAAACACCTTTTGTACGGTACCTGTAATGGTATAAATGCATGGATCTTTGCCAAAACATCGCATTAAAGAAAAAGCACAAAATATATGCCACGTTTAACTGCACAACAAAACGTGCATTCGATTATTAAAATTTGAGTGACCTGAGTCAACCAAGGTTATCAAACATCTGGCATCCATGGTTGGCTAGATTAAGCCTGAGTTAATCAAGGGTCATCAAGGATAACTTAGGACAGTACTCGAAATAAAAGTCATAAAATGCAGCCTTAGATATAATACAAAATGGCCGCCAGGAGAAGAAGAACCACACCATGTGTATTGCTATTAAAACACAACTAATATGAGAGGGTAACTCGTGTTTCATTGCTTGACAAAGCTGCCATTGTACCTTTTCTATTAAAACGACAACAAAATGTGCGTAGAACATCAAAAGGAGATGCAAAATCATCATCAAAGTTGCATTATTGATTCAAAAGTATTTTTTATCAACAATCAAAAGTTAAATTTCCCCGAGGCATATCACAATATATAATGTTATACTATCAATCCCTGGTTAATTATATTCATCAAAATGTTTTTTTCAAAATCGAATCAATAAATGAAACAAATTGGTTTTAACGATAACGCCACTTGGTGGCTTCTAAGGGGTTCAGTAGTTATGGGCAACTAAGGTCAAGCGAAGTAGGACTTAAATCTGTGTCAACATTGGTCATGCAAGGTTAACTTGGGATGTACCTTAGTCAACACGGGTTCACCTGGGTCGTTCAAATGTTATTTTTTAATTGTCTGAAGCAAATGGTTGCCAACCACATCCAGATTGCAAACAAGATTCAACTGTGTACGTGCAACCATCGCCTGAGTGTTTGAATGTTACAGACACACTGATAGTGCAGAGGACAAGGCAATGACGTCATCAGGTGGCTGACGACATCGATGAGACCTCAAGTCTTGGCCTGCATTGGTGATCGTGGTGGTCATATTCACTATGAATGTCAGGTATCTATGACCTAACTGATTTTGGCAATACCTGATTACCTCCGCTCATTTACCGTGTCCTGTGCAATTGCGACCTCCATGTTCCTTGAGACGTCATGTGCACGTCACCTGAGATACTCATTGATAGGACGCATGTAAAATCGTCCATGCTACCCGTATCAAATCATCACCATCGAATAACAATTTTTGTTTGATTCCTTTTAAGTCACCATCAAACATGGGTGTATACCTTCTTTTGCCCGCTAGTTAATATAATCGAAAGGAGCCTGGAGAATCAGGTCGTGTGAGGTGCCGCTATTCGCTGTGCAGAGTTACGTCCCTTAGGCGCAACAGGAACCTATGATCGTGGCTTCAAATCCCCTGATTAGTAGTGGATATGTTTTCTGGTGTGTCACTCCATACCCGAGGATTCCACCAAAGGTGTAAACGTCTTAGACCTTCGTTGCTTGTCTCTGTCCTTTAAAATCAAACTGACCACCGTGATATCACTTAAATATTGTTCAAAGCAGTCGTTTAACCGGCCCAACTTGATAACCTCATTTTCAAAAGATGAAGAAATATAGACTTGCCAATCTATTGTAGACTTGGGGTGTCTTCGGATCTACAACTCTCCACAAACAACCATACATGCTCCTGTACTGCTAATATTCTGTATGTTTAAGTTTAAGACTCAATCAGAACCAGATAAAATTATTAATACATAACACATTTAAATTATTTGTCGTAAATACGTAATTTTATATGTAATATCATTAAATAACTTTAAAGTGAACTGGGTTCGTAAACATACGGAGACTGACCCCAACAAGAAGGGAAATTCCATGTAGAATTCATGTTCCTCTCGTTGTGATTACACAGTAGAAGGGGAATTCCATGTAGAATTCATGTAACACTGTGTCGATCATATGACATCCTCTCTTGTCAGCTTGCTGTCGGGCATAATAGCTTTGTTCAGGTGGACAAGGCGTCCGACCCCGGATCAGAAGGTCCGTGGTTCGAATCCCTTCTCCGGGATCGGGAACGTTTAAGACGGCTAAATATAAATGTGCGTATTATGAGCTCAATAGGGGCGGTCGGGTAGCCTAGCGATTAAAAACGTTCGCTCGTCATGCCGAAGACCCGGGTTCGATTCCCCACATGGGTACAATTTGTGAAGCCCATTTCTGGTGACCCCGTTCCTCAATGCCAAGTTAACAATTGATGGCCAGTCTCATGGTTTCTCATTAGATGCATATTATTACTCTTAAGTTTCACAATCATGTTGTTAAACACCGCCGTCAGCAATATTCCAGCTATTCCATCTATTTCAGTTGGGTTGGACTGTGTCTGGACTAGATATATGACCACTGATCCAGACCACAGGGACACGATGGCAAGAACCTGACCATTCAGTTCACTTTTGGCACCCCTGGAGCGCTACCCTCACAGCGATAGCCCGTTCGCGGAGCTCTCTATACTATCGCTCCCACAGGTCATAGGACGTTATAAATTGGAGTGTGTCATATGCACCCATGACAGTTGAACCCGTCAGATTTGATGGTTTCTGTTGAACATCAACTCAACCGTTTTGCTGATAAATAGTAATCAAGCACAATACATAATGGATGCCATATTCATGTCGCCATGCCGAATGTTTATCATACTTGGGACGTGATACCAGTTCCGAGCTTGGAATCTCTTGTAACAATTTTTTAACCAATCAGATTCTGACACACATTTATTCGTTTTTCAACTAATCAAATTGCGGCACACTTTCATTCGTTTTGCATGTAATTTGTCTATGTGAGCCCATCTCACGGACGTTGGCTGCTGAGTTATCTGCCCTTGTCGTCTGCCATGGATTGATTTGAATAGACGTCGTACGATTGTCCCCGATAATATCGAATAGGGTTTCAGTGAAGCTCTCTTAACCTAATCAACCTATTCCATCCCGAAAACAGGTTCGTCACTCCCATCTATCGAGCCATATGAATTAAAAAAGTCCAACACTGTTCATCCCTCGCCGGGTCAAGTCGTTATAAAGTGCATGTCGCCATGGCTAAATCTGCGTCGATTAGCATGTGTACTCCAAGACACGGTGCTTCCAGTGCTACATGGTGGTCAAATATTCCCTTCTTTTCTTCATATCTTAAAGCGATATATGTCCTTGTCACACAGGGTTGCCACATGTTTGTATGTATCTGGATATTTGGTATTGAGCATACAGGGAAACCAATGGAATATGATAAAATCTGAATTAAAGAGTCTTGGATTGGGTTATGTGCAGGACCCTCTTGTACAAAAAGATCTTAGCGTTACGATGATTGTAACTCTCGGACTCTAATATAGGCTTAAGATAGTCGTACAGCTGAGATCGCTTTGGGCAATTCGTATAATTCGCTTTCACCCGGATTGTTTTCCCAGCGACATTGTCCGAATTAATTACTTGCCAGATCAACGAATCATATTTATGTGTCAATAACCCTTTCATCATATTCTCGCCCCTTATGGTAATTGACCCCCGTGAAGATCCGGGATGGAATTAGTCTTCAGCAACCCATGCATGTTTTAAGAAGCTTCAAACGGGATCGGGTGGTCAGGCTCACTGACTTGGTTGATGCATGTCATCGTATCCCAGTCGTGTCGATCGATGCTCATGACGTTAATCACGGGGTTGTCTGGTCCAGAATTGATTATTTTACAGACCGCCGTCATAGAGCTGTAATACTGCTGAATGCGGCGTTAAACAACGAACAACGAACAACGAACATTATTAATCACCCGTAATGTTCGGGTTTCCGAATTAACGGTGCCTGGAGTAACAGTGTTTCACTGTACATGTATTTCAGTCGAAGCAGGGTGGGACTGTTTTCTGACATAGTTGTTTAATTGAAAGCTCAGATTTGAGACCAAGATGTACATGTAGATGTATTTGGATATATCTACATGTGACAAGTGGCCGGAATGTTAAATCTTCTGATGGTGTATTATAAGTGACTTTCACATTTTGAAACTCACTTTGATGGAAGTTTTAGATATGTCTTAGTAAATTAGGAATCACACAACGGATTCTAAGCTTAGGCCAGGAGTCTATTCCCCACATGGTACAATGGTTGAAGCACAACTCTTTTCTTTTCTTTTTCCATTTTTATGCCCACAGCTTTTTATAGTTTGGTTTACGTTCCTTTTAGACTGAGATTTAGTCCCAGAAATAAAGTATTATCATTATTATTAATATAGCACAGTAGTCTTGGCTATCAGATGGACAACAGATTCGTTCTGATAGTGAACCCAGGTGTGCAGCGCATACTTCATACTGCGTATGGAACTCAACGGGTGCAAAGGATCATCACATTATGCTAACAGATCACCTGGTCATACAAGACATACATCACAGTGCTTGCAGGACACTAGTAATATAGAACATTAATCTCATACTGCTTACAAAGCACTGGTAATATAGAACATTTATCTCATACTGCTTACAGGGCACTGGTTATATAGAACATATGTCTCATACTGCTTACAGGGCACTGGTAATATAGAACATTTATCTCATACTGCTTACAGGGCACTGGTAATATAGAAAATTTATCTCACACTGCTTACAGGGCATTGTTTAAATAGAACATTATTCTCACACTGCTTGCAGGACCCTAGTAATATAGAACATTTATCTCATACTGCTTACAGGACACTGCTAATATAGAACATTTATCTCACACTGCTTACAGGGCACTGGTGATATAGAACATTTATCTCACACTGCTTACAGGGCACTGGTAATATAGAACATTTATCTCACACTGCTTACAGGGCACTGGTAACATAGAACATTTATCTCATACTGCTTACAGGGCACTGGTAAAATAGAACATTTATCTCATACTGCTTACAGAACACTGGTAATATAGAACATTTATCTCACACTGCTTACAGGGCACTGGTAATATAGAACATTTATCTCATACTGCTTACAGAACACTGGTAATATAGAATCTACTCTCCATCTACCGCTTATAGAGTACTTGGTACTATAAACCATATGTCTCATACCGCTTACTGAGCACCTGAGCCTAAAAATCATATGTCCCATACCGCTTATAGAGCACCTTGGACTATTAACCATATGTCTCATACCACTTACTGAGTACCTGGGACTATTAGCCACGTGCCTCATACCGCTTATAGAGTATCTGGCACTATTAGCCATACGTCTCATGCCGCTGATAGAGTACCTGATACTTTTAACCAAACGTCTCATGCCGCTTACTGAGCACCTGAAACTATTAACCATGCGTCTCATACCGCTTACTGAGCACCTGAAACTATTAACCATACGTCTCATACCGCTTACTGAGCACCTGGGACTATTAAACATACGTCTCATACCGCTTATAGAGCACCTGGTTCTACTAACCATACGTCTCTTATTGCTTATATAGAGCATCGTGTAATACATAACATACTAAACTAAAATATAACATACTAAACCGCTTAAAGAAAGCCTGGTGAGTCAGACCCTACACCATATCTCGACCACAGGGATTTGTTCCGTCACATACATTCCAGTCTATATCAATCAGTTGTGTAAACTGGATTATGTTTTTCGTCTTACATTCGGTGACCGGACTCAGTAGAGGTGGACAATGGTGCCACACTGCGCCATCTTCCCCTGTTTACAGCTGCCTGGTATTTCCAGCAGCGGCTTCTGTAAGCTTGATTAAGACGAGAAATGAAAGTAACTGTGAGGACCATGTTATTCCGAATGGGCCATTTAACCAGCAAGACCTTGAAAGTCTGGGCCGAGAAGGACGTAATTTACTGTGATCAATTATGCCGTACCTCGGCGTGGAAACGGTGCCTCACACAATGTGTCCTGGGTAATAGGCACACACCACACATAAATTACACTGGGATGACACGGGGGCAGGATATATTGGACACGCTGTTTATTTGCTGCTCATCAGGGTTGTATAATAAGGAAGGAAGAAGTTAATGAAGGCTTTCAGAGGAGAGGAGAAAACAGGAGGAGAAGAGCCTGAAGAGGCGAAGGTAGAGACGCAGAAGATGGCGAGTGGAGGAGAAAATGGTGGAATCGAAGATATTGATAAGAGGATGACAAGAAGGGACGTTGGAAGAGAAGAAGAGGAGAAGTGGAGGTGGAAGAGAAGAAGAGGGCAAGAAAGGAAGTTGGAAGAGAAGAAGGGGAGAAGGGGAGGTGGAAGAGAAGAAGAGGGCAAGAAAGGAAGTTGGGCAGGGAGTGGAGGTGGAAGAGAATAAGGAGAGGTGGAAGAGAAGAAAGAGAGGTCGAAGAGAAGGAGAGGTGGAAGAGAAGAAGGAGAGGTGGAAGAGAAGGAGAGATGGAAGAGAAGAAGGGATGGTGGAAGAGAAAAAGTGGAGGTAGAAAAGAAGAAGGTGAGGTGGAAGAGAAGAAGGAGAGGTGGAAGAGAAGGAAAGGTGGAAGAGAAGAAGGAGAGGTGGAAGAGAAGAAGGAGAGGTGGAAGAGAAGGAGAGGTGGAAGTGAAGAAGGGGTGGTGGAAGAGAAGGAGAGGTGGAAGAGAAGAAGGAGTGGTGGAAGAGAAGAAGGAGAGGTGGAAGAGAAGGAAAGGTGGAAGAGAAGAAGGGGAGGTGGAAGAGAAGGAGTGGAGGTGGAAGAGAAGAAGGAGAGGTGGAAGAGAAGAAGGAAAGGTGGAAGAGAAGAAGGAGAGGTGGAAGAGAAGGGGAGGTGGAGGAGAAGAAGGAGAGGTGGAAGAGAAGAAGAAGAGGTGGAAAAGAAGGGCAGGTGGAAGAGAAGAAGGAGAGGTGGAAGAGAAGAAGGGGAGGTGGAAGAGAAGAAGTGGAGGTGGAAGAGAAGAAGGAGAGGTGGAAGAGAAGAAGGAAAGGTGGAAGAGAAGAAGGAGAGGTGGAAGAGAAGGGGAGGTGGAGGAGAAGAAGGAGAGGTGGAAGAGAAGAAGAAGAGGTGGAAAAGAAGGGCAGGTGGAAGAGAAGAAGGAGAGGTGGAAGAGAAAAAGTGAAGGTGGAAGAGAAGAAGGGGGTTGGAAGAGAAGAAGGAGTGGTGGAAGAGAAGAAGGAGAGGTGGAAGAGAAGAAGGAGAGGTGGAAGAGAAGGGGAGGTGGAGGAGAAGAAGGAGAGGTGGAAGAGAAGGAGAGGCCGAAGAGAAGAAGGAGAGGTGGAAGAGAAAAAGTGGATGTGGAAGAGAAGAAGGGGAGGTGGAAGAGAAGAAGGAGAGGTGGAAGAGAAGAAGGGGTGGTGGAAGAGAAGAAGGGGAGGTGGAAGAGAAGAAGGGGAGGTGGAAGAGAAGAAGGAGAGGTGGAAGAGAAGAAGGGGTGGTGGAAGAGAAGAAGGGGAGGTGGAAGAGAAGAAGGGGAGGTGGAAGAGAAGGAGAGGTGGAAGAGAAGGAGAGGTGGAAGAGAAGAAGGAGTGGTGGAAGAGAAGAAGGGGAGGCGGAAAGAAGAAGGAGAGATGGAAGAGAAGAAGGGGTGTTGGAAGAGAAGAAGTGGAGGTGGAAGAGAAGAAGGGGAGGTGGAAGAGAAGAAGGAGAGGTGGAAGAGAAGAAGAAGAGGTGGAAGAGAAGAAGGAGAGGTGGAAGAGAAGAAGGGGTGGTGGAAGAGAAGAAGGGGAGGCGGAAAGAAGAATGAGAGGTGGAAGAGAAGAAGGGGTGTTGGAAGAGAAGAAATGGAGGTGGAAGAGAAGAAGGGGAGGTGGAAGAGAAGAAGGAGAGGTGGAAGAGAAGAAGGAGAGGTGGAAGAGAAGAAGGAGAGGTGGAAGAGAAGAAGGGGTGGTGGAAGAGAAGAAGGGGTGGTGGAAGAGAAGGAGAGGTGGAAGAGAAGAAGGAGAGATGAAAGAGAAGAGGAGGTAGAAGAGCAGAAGGGAAGGTGGAGGAGAAGAAGGAGGCAAGAAGGGGATGTTGAAGAAGAAGGGGAGGTAGAAGAGAAGGGAGGTGGAAGAGAAGAAGGGGGTGGAAGGGGAGGAGAAGAAGTAGGCAATTAGTGGACATGGAGAGAAGGGGCAGAATGGAGAAGTGGAGGAGAAGAGGTAGAGAGGATGGTGGAAGAGAAGAAGGGGAGTAGAGGAGAAAGAGGATCCCGTGGCGATGCAGTCATGGTAGAAGCTTACGCTTGGTGCCTCCAGATCGGCATTACATCAGTAACAAAGCTACACACTGGTCGCCAGTCGATGGGTATAAATCAACAATTTCCTTGAGATGTGATGGGCGAGATGAAGACGGTGCGGGAGTGAGAGAGAAGGAGGGATTGTAAGACGGAAGAAGAGGACCTTGATTTACTGACTGGAGAAGTAGACATAACTACGGAGACGTATAGACGGAAGGATCGAAAAACGGACGAGAGGTACTCTAATGGCTTCAATAAAAATCAGCGCCCTTGAGGACTTTGTAACTGGTGGTGTGATTATCCCCTACGCTGTATGTTGAAATAGACATCCCATTAACGCATCACTCGTACTCCTTGTACGACATGGGCCCGGCAATGGGTTCCGTCTCGTGTTTGGAGGAGAAGTTAGATAAACACAGAAATCCGGGATGTGTCAGTTTTGTACCGACACTGTGCCGTTGGCCTATTTCCGTATGAGATCAGAGTCAGAATAAAACTATATTCCGTTCCACAAAAAACCCTGATATGTAAAAAAAAACATAATGCGTTTACCGTTCGTGTTTTGTAGAATGTAAATTTTACGACATAGCAGTGTGAAAAATCAAACCATTGCGATTAGTTTTTCTTCGAGAAGGAGTCTCCTGGCGAGGAGCGGTTGAAAAAGCCTATGCTTCAATTGGGGTTTAGCGTGAACAAAACGTGGTTCTTAACATGGTTACGGGTTATGGAGGAGACACTGCAGCTAATAAACAATGGACGTCTAAGAACAATTATGTAACGTCTGTGAACAGACCGTTACTCTGTGAGGAAACAACACGAAACAGAAATGGAGTGGAGAGGAATGACTCACTTTGAAATAGACTCCATGATTGACAACTAATTAAGCCGTTGCCAGATTTAAAGAAGTTTTAAGGAAGACATAATGGGTGCTCAACATGCTTTACCAGGCGGAATCGCGCCTCCCAAACACATTCTCAGCTCAACATATGTCAGCCTAACCGGTGTGGAGGTATTACACGCGCCCATCTCGTAAAGGGGCCTTGCGCGGACTGGGAATTACTCTCGGATTAAAATATCACCACTTAGAATTACAACGGACTGGTGAGAAACGAACCCTCCCCTGATTAATGCCAGAACAGTGGACAGCCCGCTTCATCATTGATTTCTCCCTTTGATTAATTTGAATTTAAAGTTGCCTCTAATTAAAGAAATTCATTAAGATGACTAGGGCAGGGGGAATAAAACAAAATCACTCCAATGCTATTAGCGTTTGCCACTCAGGATGTTTTTCCTCGTTCCAAGAACTGATAGTTCCGTAATGGCACAAAAGCCTGCATATCATCCTGTATTCTGGACAGTGGTCCCGGCTTAACCCTACAAGTGGCTTTAAACCCATAGTGTCAAAGCGTTCATGAAGAATTGGATTATTTGGGGGCATTGTCTTTAGAATAAACAGAAAACATCCAAATGAATATACTATGATTCAAGTATGGATGATCAACTTGGGGGTTGGGGTGGTTAAGGGTTTGTTTGCGATGTTGAATACTTTAGTTAAATTACAGGTTTATGGTTTGCTGGAGTTGACACCAGAAGTCGCGGAAAGGAGGAGAATGCCCTGCCCTACCGGTAGAACCCATCACGAGGAGGAGAATGCCCTGCCCTACCGGTAGAACCCATCACGAGGAGGAGAAAGCCCTGCCCTACCGGTAGAACCCATCGCAAGGAGGAGAATGCCCTGCCCTTCCGGTAGAACCAGTCACGAGGAGGAGAATGCCCTGCCCTAGCGGTAGAACCAATCACGAGGAGGTGAATGCCCTGCCCTACCGGTAGAACCCATCACAAGGAGGAGAATGCCCTGCCCTCCCGGTAGAACCCATCGCGAGGAGGAGAATGCCCTGCCCTTTTAGCAAGATATTCCAGCAATATCACGGTAAGGGACACAGAAATGGGCTTCACACATTGATACCATGTGGGGAATCGAACCCGGGCCTTCAGTGCGACGAGCCAACATTTTAACTACTAGGCTACCCCACTGCAACTGTCTGAATATGAAACTAAATAATTCAAAATACCCCAATGATCTCGAAAATGGATCTTTGTAATACGTTCGTGAATTTCTGGTCTCATCAACTGATCAGAGGGATCTTACCTGTCACGAGTATTGCATACAGGCAACGAAAGTGAAACCCCGTTAATCTGCCCTCGGTGAAATCCGGTCCGGATTAACAGGTTTCCGTGTTAACGAACCATAGGTACAACGTAACATAATGAATATATAAAAGAGACAAAATCCATATCCTCAATCTTAAGAAAGCTCTACTTTAGCCCTTTGGGGGCGGTCGGGTAGCCTAGTGGTTAAAGCGTTCGCTCGTCACGCCGAAGACCCGGGTTCGATTCCCGACATGGGTACAATGTGTGAAGCCCATTTCTGGTGTCCCCCGCCGTGATATTGCTGGAATATTGCTAAAAGCGGCGTAAAACCAAACTCACTCACTTTAGCCCTTTGTATATTCCGACTATATCATAAGTATGTGTTTATGAATAACTATCAAATTTATGATGATGCCAGGTGCTCCATCGTTGGCACCTGTCACAAACACATGCAAAGACAAGTCAATTGTTTACCTGAAGAAACACGGGAACATACGGTCAAGTCAAAACAGGGAATTGCATCGGACGTCATAGTTGTCAATGATGCGTCAAATTTACTCATACCTAGGCGTTCCTTGCAGTAATTGTCCGTAAAGTACGGTGTCCTGTCTGACGAGGGACAACAGAGTATTCTTTCATGGCCAAGGATAATCAACTGTCGGTCCTTTTGTAAATATTGTAACGCAAGCGAAATTTACTGTTATCACGCAATTCGTGTTGTATAAAAGTGAATGCAAGCGATAAAGCTGCTTTTACAATAAAACATGGATTAGGCAACCAATTTATCATGCAAGTATGTTAGTTTTCAGTTCGTTCTGTTGTCTAAAGACTGCAAGTCCTGTTATTCAACCCCTATTAAAAAATACCCCTATCCGTCTCCGTCAACTACATTTCCAAACATCAACCGGTTGGACGCCTCTATTACACAATGATTAATTTGCAGTCTTGCGTTGAAACTCTATCAGGCCAGCATAAACATCCATGGCGACCATGTCCATGACAGTCCGCTAATGGAGGAAGTTGTCACTCACATTCGGAGGTCGGGGGTCGAATCCTAGGTCACTGCGACACCTCAGAGACAGTGAACAGGGCGTCGCAACATGCTTCGTCAATTACCGATGGTGTGCAACGTCGGTACCGCTCAAGTCGGTGCCAGAACCTATTTGAATATTTGTCCAATTTGTCATCCCTTGGTCAGTGTCAATAACGGACTAGAGGACCACTGTCTTCTCGGGTTGCTTTCTAATTTCCCTGCAACAGTTATGACAACCGGTAGTTCTCTCAAAATGTTAAAGTGTAAACCTGCAATTATTCATAACTAATCTCGCTGTTGCAAAACATGAAAAACATATTTTTAATATAATAAATCGCTCTAGGAGGTACTTGAATAAACAAAAAATCACCAGCACTTAAAAGTGACGTCATGATAACGCCAGCTAGAATAATTAATGTTATGCTAGGCGGGTTAGTTGGGTTTTAAACCTCTGTGAACATTATTGTTTCAGAATCACTATCGTACAGGAAGCAATAGCGACGAGAATATTATTTGTAATCCGACCAAATCTGCAAAATAAAATAAAATACGGAGAACACTTGGACATCAAAGATTAGCTCTTGAAAACAATTTCAACTGTAAGAATTCTGTTTGGCGCTAATGAAGCATTTGCTTGCTTCCTGATTATTGAACTGTAGATCAGTACGACCTTGACCTTATGGTCACGTGGCAGCAGTACGACCTTGACCTTAAAGTCGCGAAGTGTACTAATGTCATCTTGGAGAAATGATAACGAAGTAATATCTCAACGGTCATTCAGAGAAACACAGATTTGATGTTTATGGTATTGTTTCATGTTCCAGGTTATCATAAGCCGATGTAGTGAACAGACCTTATCGTCACGGCCATAACGACTTTACGAAATTACAGGGACCGTGTGCAGATTTGCGACTCTAGGGCGTGACAGCATCCTTAGATTTGCTGTTGGAATCTCGGAATTTTTACGTTTCCTGGTTTGTCTGCATCCTACATCGTCATCCACACAGCCACACAGCCTGACAACGACAGTCTTACAGTCACAGCCACAGCCTCACAGTCAGACAGCCGCACAGTCACACAGCCTCACAGTCACACAGCCACAGTCACACAGTCACAGTCACACAGCCTCACAGTCACACAGCCTCACAGTCACACAGCCTCACAGTCACACAGCCAGAGTCACACAGTCAGACAGCCTCACAGTCACACAGCCTCACAGTCACACAGCCACAGTCACACAGCCACAATCTCACAGTTACAGTCACACAGTCAGACAGCCTCACAGTCACACAGCCTCACAGCCACACAGCCTCACAGTCACAGTCACACAGCCTCACAGTCACACAGTCAGACAGCCACAGTCACACAGTCAGACAGCCTCACAGTCACACAGCCACAGTCACACAGCCACAGTCACACAGCCACAATCTCACAGTTACAGTCACACAGTCAGACAGCCTCACAGTCACACAGCATCACAGCCACACAGCCTCACAGTCACAGTCACACAGCCTCACAGTCACACAGTCAGACAGCCACAGTCACACAGTCAGACAGCCTCACAGTCAGACAGCCACAGTCACACAGCCACAGTCACACAGCCACAGTCACACAGTCACAGTCACACAGTCAGACAGCCTCACAGTCACACAGCCTCACAGCCACACAGTCACACAGCCTCACAGTCACAGTCA